TGGCCCAAATCAGAGCCATTTCTCTCGATTTGACGCCTGATATTATATGTGTAACAGAATCTTGGATCCATTCTCTAATTCCTGATTCTGCTGTTCTTATAGATGACTTCGATTTTTCCCGTCAAGACCGCACGACTAGGCGTGGGGGTGGTTGTCTTCTTTATCTTAAATCCTACCTAAAGCACTCTCCCTATTAATTGGATGTTTCCTCATTCACGGGAAACTTCTGCTTTGCATCTGCTATTCTCTCGCTGCAAAGAAAAGCAATTATTGGCTGTATCTACAATCCCCCAAATTCTTCAGCCAGTGAAGATTCACATCCTGTGAAATTTTTAAATTACTTTCGGAAGATGCTTTCGATGTTAAGATAAACACTGGTAATTTTAACCTTCCTGAAATAGACTGGGTTTCCAATATCTGTCCACCTAAATTGCAGTCCTTCCAAGATATTGTCAATGTTTCTAACTGGTTCCAACTGGTGCGCTCTCGAACAAGAGATAGTCACATTTTAGATCTAATCTTTACCAATGACATTGCTCCTATTTTTGTTGCTTTCAAAAAGGGCCTCTTTGACAGTGACCACGTATTAATTCATAGCTGCTTACTGCTTGTCTTTTAAAAAAAGACTAGCACCGTTCGGACTTACATAAACTACGATTGCGTAGATAGTGACTTAATAAAGAACTATATTGGATCATTGGATTGGTGCAGCTTCCTCTGCTGTAGCGATGCAACCATTTTTTGTGATGTCTTGTCCGATGTTTCCAAAGACATCTTAGAATTCGTGCCGCGCAGATATTTCAAATCTTATTTTTCAGATTGCTTTGTTCCGTATTTTTTTACAGCAGACTAAAAAAGTTGAGGCGACAGCTGTGTGACCCATCCACTAGTTCCTTATCAGTTCATCTTAGAATCACAGAGATTTTTGAGATGGCCTCAAGGATGCGCCAAGCGCGCGACAGGCAAAGAGAATCCATTGCTCTCAGTGGTTCGAACCATGGCGAATCCGTCGCTGACATCTTCCGTCATCGGTCCTCCTCTAAGCGTGGTCACGAACTTCCACCCCTGCTAAATGATAGCAAAGTCTTCCTCACCGATGACACTGACAAGGCGGAGTTGTTTAGTGCTTTCTTTGCAAAACACCTTGCTACCGAGTCCGATCCGGTCCCTTTCTTTCGATCAATTTCAGATAGGACACTTAGTACAGTCGATGTCCCCTCAGATCTTATTAAGAAACACATAAGCCGTTTGAAATACTCTCACTGCTCTGGAACGGACGGGATTCCAAATCCGATTATTAAACAGGCATCCGACCTTCCCATAATGCTTAGTCCTTTATCCTCGGTTTATATCAGGCGGATTTTTCCCTGAAACATGAAAGACGTCAATCATCATTCCTGTCTTCAAGTCTGGATCTCGGTCCGATTTTATTAAATATCGGGAAGTGAGCAAAACGCCGTCTCTAGCAAAGCTTCTTGAAAGGATTATTTTTAATGATATTCTTGACTTCTGTCTAGCTAATCGGCTTCTGAGCTCTAGTCAGCATGGATTTTTACCTGAACGATCCTGCGAAACTTGCCACTTGGCATTTCTTAATCTACTCCCTTATCTTCGTAATGAGCAGCAGTCAGCGGTAGTTATCTACTTTGATCTTAGCAAAGCCTTTGACAAGGTGCCCCATAGGCATCTTTTAGTAAAATTGGAAGCCCTCGGCATCCGGCCGCCTCTACTCGACTTCATCAGGTCCTATCTTTCCAACCGATACCAGAAAGTCATGGTCGGTAATAGCTACTCGACACCTCAAACGGTTACGAATGGTGTATTTCAAGGCACAGTTCTGGGTCCGCTACTGTTCCTTCTGTACATCAATGATATTTCGACTGAACTCGGAAATTCGCAAACTTTTATTTATGCCGATGACTTCAAGTGTGTTTACTCATATTCTAAGGACACCGCAAACGTTTGTGTTTAAAGAATTAATGCCGATTTACTACGCTTAAGCAGATGGGGTTCAGCATGGCAGATGGAGTTTTCATCATCCAGGTGTAGTTTTATGTCTTTTGGTGCTGCCAAACTTCCTGGTCCCATAATTTTTCAGGATAACCTACTCTCAGCATGCTTCAGCATAAAAGATCTAGGTTTAAGTTATACAAACAGACTTGCTTTATCACCTCATGCAGATAGAATCTCTGCCAAAGCCGCGCAGATATGTTGATTCAAATCGCATAATTTTTCCTTGCAGAAATGAAGACCAGACTTTATCAAATGCCTGTTCTTCCAATCCTCGAATACTGCTGTCCTTTTTTTATTTAATGAACTCATGTGACCGTAATAAAATCGAAAATGTTCAGAGGGTTTTCACCCGGAAACTGTTCTCTCAAGCTTCGTCCAGTATTTCTTATACTCAGAGATGTCAACTGGCGAACATTAAGTTTTTGTGGGTTAGAATACTTGAAACTAGTCTTTGCTTCCATCTTCGCATTAACTCTAGCTCCACTCGTCCGCTCTTTGACACTCTCACTCCGAGAGATCGGTCTTATGCCACACGCAACTCCTCCATGGTGATCCCGCCGCCTCTTTGTACTACATCTAAGCGCTCCCTCTTCTTTGCTTCCAAATATGCCTTCCTTTGGAATAATCTTCTGCCAGAAATTAGGTCATCGCCTAAGTTACTGGTATGCAAGTCGAAATTACGCAAACACGTTACACCGGAAATTATAAAGGCATTTTAACGGTCTCATTCCCGAGCACTCAGCTTCTTGACTTTAAGAAGGGTCCTGCTAGGATTTAATGGTAGATCAAGTGGAAACCCTCAATTATATCATTAGAAACCCCCGTTTTGAATTGGTTTCTAAATTCACTGCTATCATTCCTCCCCAGAGCGATGATTTTCGCGGTTATTGACACCATCTCCCTCATCTTCACCTCAAGCGGTCTGTCGACGCTCACGGCTGAACCCTCAGTATTCGCGTCTACAAGTAGTTTGGTCGTACCTCCCTTCCCCACTCCTCGGCTGGGCTCGAAGCCTACTGTGGCCGATCGCGTCTGGGTTCCTCTCGTCTGGCCACTTTGACGCAAATAGTCTCATCCGGTGTATGAATTCTGTCCGGACGATGTTGGTTTTGAATCCCACATGCAAACTACTCCTGTCTGACCCGCATACGTACCCCCCAAGGCTGACATCCATTTCGGACCTGACGATGTCCGTTTATAATCCGTTATATACCGCCACATGAAGGTCATTTCTACCCGCATTCTTCTGTTATTATTATTATTAGAGAGGGTCTTTTCTCCAGTAAAGTTAATCCCATCGTTTTTTGAATTCTTGAGTGGAGTTTTTTCGCATCTCGCTCAGCATTCTTCTTAGCGGACTAGTAATTCAGAAACTGTGAATTGCATTTTGTACAGATTCTGCCTACCTCATTTAAAATTCATATGTAAATTTATTTTTACCTGCTTTGATGGGACCCCGATGTGTCTTTAATAAAAATTATTCACTTACTCATTTTATTTACTTGCTTGCTCTGTCAGCGTGGAACTCAACATAGATAGTGGAATTCTCTTCAGCTAACTGTCACTACATGTGCTTTGGGTCTGAAGAACTACTCCAATCATTGGTCTTTCAAGACGCACCTGTGATTGAATGCGCCACCATCGTGCCACCTTTGTCAGTCAGTCAGTCAGTGTATTTGAGGGAAATAGGCTTACGCCTTTGAACTCCCTATTTGTACATAAAAAATCGATAAACAAGCAAAAATGTGAAAAAATTACAGCGTTAAGTGAATGCATACATTGATTCACATATGTCACTAGTCAAATGGCTAAAAAGTCACATAGTCCGCTTGTTGCTGCAGCATATATCTGTCAAGGCGACATTTAAATGTCTCCACAGACTGAGACATAACAACCGTCTCGGGCAGGTTATTCCACGGTTCCACGACACGGTTGGAGAAGAAATATTTTCTCACATTCA